AAATTATTTATCTTAAATCAAAAATATAATATATATATATATATATATATAAGTTTTAACTATTTTTTCCCATACATATAAAATTATCTTAGTTTTAACTCACATTTATTTGTTTTTCCTTTTTCCTTTCACCCTAAATCAAATATATTATAAAAGTAAAACAAAAACTAAAGAACTTATAAAAAAAATTTAGTGTCTACAATATTTTGTACTCACCATTTGGAATGAGTGAAAGAAAAAAGGTGAGATTGCTTCTTCTATTTGAAAGTATTTCACACAAATAATAATAATAATATAAAAAAAAAAAGTTTGAGCCGCATGTTTTACAATCCTTTTAAATGTGAGAATGTACTGAAAGTTGCTCCATATATAAATAAAGACAAGTATACTTATTTTAACATACCCCTTATTTATTAAGAATATTTGAGTTACTTTATATATACTTTTTTTAATTAAACATGAAAAAAGAAAAATTAACTTTACTAAGTATTACTTTATATATATAGAAGAGGATTATAATAATATCGGTGTAACTTTTACTAAGTATTATATTTTTTTTTGTGAAGATAGGAAAGATTACAAAGATGTTCGCAATGAAGATTGAACCTAGGTTCTCATGCTTCTAACTACCCCAACCCCTCCCTACCCAACCATTAGGCTAACCCTAGTGGTCTTTACTAAGTATTACATCGTTCAATAACTTTATATTAAATGTGAAAATTCTTATCATTTTATATATTTATATCAAATTTTGTTAAAATTAAACAACAACTTGAAGGTAATCAAAGTGTTCATATTTTAGTATATTTTAAAATATATATTATATTAATTTTGTTTCATAAAAATGAAATATCAAATTATTTTGGATTAACATAAAATTTTATATATATCTTCTAAGAGTAAAAGCTTTTCAATTTAATAGTTGAATTTACAAAATTCATATTTAATATAAAGTTATTGAACAGTATAATACTTAGTAAAAGTTATATCGGTATTATTATATCTCTTCTATATATATATATATGGTTAAAAACCTAATTTGGTCTCTTATAATATTTTTTTTTTTAAATTTATTCCCATTTTATTTTTTGGTTTCATTTTGTTCCTTATTATTTTAAATTATTGCAATTTGGGACTTCCGTCCAAATGATTTAAACGAGGTTAATTCCTGGTGACGTGGACGCTACTTGGATGCGGATGTGGATGCATACGTGGATGTTTAATTTTTTCATGCATCTGAAACCAGAACGGCCCCTTCTGAACGGACCGTTCTGGTTGCACTCATGGTGTGTAAATTTTGCATCTGGAACGGGCGTTCCAGATGCATTATTTAACACCAACGAGTGCATCAGAACGGGTCATTCTAGTTTCAAAACGGGCCGTTCTGAATTCAGAACGAGTCGTTCCAGAACGCCAACCAGCACACTCTCTGGTTCAAAGATCAAAGACAAACCATTTACACATACATAATTTTTTTTATCTAAAAAATGATGTATTTTAAAAAATTATATTCTAATAAATATATATATATTTAAATTATCATATGTATAAAATATAAATTTCGAAAAATTATTCATTTATCTCATATTTGTCAAACTTTTGTGCTTTCTATTTATTGTATATGTTGATAAAAAAAATCAAAATTGTAAAAATTTATATCACATATCAAAAACATCTTTATAAGATAAATAAATTAAATTAAATTTTTATAGGATTTAACATATTTATTTTTATGTTTTTATTAGTGTTAAATTATTATTAAGTAAGTTTTTAAGATTGTAGTTCTAACCAAACATTTTAAAAAATGTCTATGACAGATAAATATATCATATTAAAAACATGTATTTTTAATAAAAATTAGGTTTAATTCTATTAAATTATAATATAACATAATCTGACCTAGTTTATTTTCATCCTTAATCGTAATTGTAGATATAAAAACTTGTAAAAAATAACTATAATATATATTTATATTTTTAAAAATTAAATGTAAAATTTTTAATATTACAAATATATAAATAAGTATTGCCCTCACGATCTAAATTTTCTAAATTTGTCACTGACTATTATCATCGAGTTTGTGTTTGGACTTCTGGCTCCAGATATATTAAAAAAATTTGGCACTCACGTGTGCATCCACGTGATTAACAGTTAACTCCATCTAAATTATTTGGACAGAAATCCCAAATTGCAATAATTTAAATTATTGGGGACCATTTAAAATCAAAAATTAAAATAGGACTAAATTAAAACAAAAAAAAATATTATAAGGGATCAAATTAAATTTTTAACCTCTCTCTCTATATATATTAAGATGTAGAAAATAATGAACCCAAATCATCCGAGAAATCTTACGACAGATATTTACTCTTGCAAAAGTTCACGATTTATTCTTAAAAACAGAACAAGGCACAAAACAACAGTCCAATCAAAGATCCAAAACTTCTAAGAATAAAGCTAAGATTTAAAGCGGACCAAGAACCTAGCACATCATCGACTCTATCAAAACGCAATGTTAGTTAAACCAAGATTTACAGTCAGGAAGCATTTTCAACTCAAGAAGCTTGCTTCTTCTTGATCCCACTCTCTATATCATCAATCCTCAAGAGCATGCAAGTAGCTAACATAACATTAGAACGAAGCATTTTGAGTCCACTTACTGTGGGAGAAAAAGTACAAATACTTTGAAACAAGATAAAAAAGGGTGAATCTTAGAAGAGGGGATCAGCAATGGACAAGAATATACTTAAGTTTTGGATTTTTTTATTATGTTTCTTGCAACAGACATGGCATCTTGTCAAGAAAACAAGTTTCAGAAAGCAATATGACCAAATCTAATTCCTTAGAACTTGTTAGTAGCTTACCTGTATGTTTCTCACAACTTCATTTATGAGATCCTTACTAGCACCTCTTAGTGATACAGTACAAGCCTTGGGGGCTTTGCAATCAACAATGAATGCAAAGTACTCGTCTCCAATTTTCTTAACCTCAAATAATCCAGCACCAGTACCAGCATCAGATTCCTGCACAATAACAACACTACATGCCTTTGCAATTCTATTATTATCAGTTTTCCTCAGCCTCTTCAGTGCACTAACTCTATATTTGCTAAGATAATGACAAGGCAAATCAACACTGTTATTGTGATTACCAAGACCGGAGATCTGGAAATGCTACCTAGTTGTAGAAGACTATAAAAATTATCAACACTCAAGTAGTAATAAGTCTTAGTCCTCTACACTCAAACAGAACAACAAAAAACTTAAAAGCTAAGCTAAAATGAAATGATGCTTTTATAAAACTTTTTGCTGATTTTTCAGTTTTCAGACATCTAGCAACATTTAAGATGAAGAAAATATATTAGTTTGACGAATTCCTAAGACAAATCATCTAATTCCGGTGGCCGGTCTAATTAAATGAAGATAACTTTAATACGGAAATAAAACTATATTAGTGGATGAAATCTTTGGAAATAAAGGTTAAAATATTTTGAGAGAAGATGTTATGTTTATGATTGATAACAATTTTTCTAGATTATGTTTTTAGATCTCGACCTTAAACTTCTAAAAATTGGGGTTTTAATTAAATAAATTTGGTTTTTAAATAAGAGTTAATCATCCATACACTGTCAGTGTAAAGTTTTTTACATTGACAACCAATCATATCTTTTAAATTATTTTATTTTATTTTAAGTTCATTAAATAAACAAATGACATGACACTATTAAAAGATTGGTTATCAGTGTAAAAAAATTTTTATACTAACAGTGTATAGGTGATTAACTCTTTAAATAATTGTTCTTTTGTCTTTTATTGTAAGGTATGCTCTATTTCCCACTTTTTGTAACATGTGAGACTTGCATATTTTTTCCACATGCATTTCCCACTTTTTGTAACTTGTGAGACGCATATTTTTTCCACATTTTGTTGATCAGATTGTCTATTTACAAGAGAGGGTGTATTTATTGGGTTTATCATACACACAACTCTATGTTGGTCAAATATTGTTCATTTTGCGATT